GGCCACACACACAGCCTGGGATATCCATGGCTTGGGGACGTCTCCTGAGATAAAACAATATATAAAACCTGATTACAATCACATCATTATACATTTACTAAGAAAGAACTGTTATGCTAGTTCTAAATAATATCACTATTATCATCTATTACAGAATCTAAATAAAACAAAAATACAAGTCTGTTACATTTCAAGAAATCTTTTCAACTGGCTGTCTTTATGAACTCATAGTCAGCAGAGTGTAATAGACTCCATGGTGCATGCAGTCTATATTCATCCTTTTTGTGCTTACCCAATTATGTTCAGTAACCCTATCTTTGTTTTCTTTTCTTTTTTATTATTATTATTATAATTATTACTTATAAGCTTGAAAATTAGGAATCAGGGAGAGGAAAAAGAGCTTAACAGAGCCTCAGTGGAAAAAGGAAAGAACTTTGTTGAGCCTGATTTATGGTTAGTCCTCTGATGCTTCCTAGTCAGAGCTATGCTTGTAAGTTTCCTTAAACCAATTATATTTTGACAGGTTCTCTCTCTGTGATAGTTAACTCTGACTTATAATAATGGTATCTTAAAGGGGTAATATCTAGAGGACACTCCTCTGACATTCACTTGTCATGGTGCAATAACATATTAAGAAATAGGCATGCATTAAAAAAATTGCAAGGTAGCTGCTATTAATAAACAAAGACATTAATTACTTTGCAAAGACCACTGTTTTCATTAAAGCTTTCAGACCAAGGTTAAAAAGGATTCTCTAATCATTAACCAATGAACTTCAGTGAAAACACGCATATTTTTTTTTCTTTCTTTTTTCTTTCCTTTCCATTCCTTTCTTTTATCATTCAAACTGCCAAATCTAAAAGAATCTATGACAATAATGCCCTAAAATCTGATTATGAGGTAAGGAGTGTATTCAAGTTGCTGTGGCCAGTGATAACTCAAACAGCCTTTATAAGGACACAGGTAATGTATATGCACAGTACCTGAAAAGGTTTGTATTAGCACCAAAATTTAAAAATATAGGTTTGGTCATGTAAGGTTATATCTGTTTTGGTAAGACTATAATCATACTACAAGGCATATAATATTTGAAAGTTGCCTACTGCTAACAATTAAATATCAATCTTATTTGTCAACAGTAACAGAACAGGTTTAGCTTCAGTTAAGAATAACTTCCCTTGCTATTTCTGTTTGTGAAAAATTTGTATCAATCCAGAAGCTTACCCTATTTTACGAAAATGTTGTGGGAGGCAATTGAAATTTATACTGACCAATTCTCTGTATATTATTCATAATTTACCCTGTAAATTACCTTGTGCTATTCATGCCCTCCCCTGCTTTTGGGGCCACAAATGTGGATACTGAGGGAGGCTGGGTCTGCAGCACAATTTTAATGTATTTGGATAGTTGAGAACAAGAGGAATCCATCAATATCAAAATCACCTCAATCTGTTGTATGAATGTATTCCAAAACATTACCCAGAAAACATCCATTCTTCAGTGTCAACAAAGGCCCCAACAAAACCATTAGCTCCAATGAGAAAAACAAAATACACAACAAAATTATGATAATTGCACAAAATATGAACAGCCGCACATCAAACACTGACGGATCCTTAAATCCTTCAAATATCATTTGCTCGTACCATAAATACTTTCACCAATAATACATTTAGCGCACTAAGTCTGTTACAAAATCGGCATTCGATCTATCAACGTTCATACATGCTGATCCTACCGGCGAATTAACCCCGAGGGAAATATCATGCAATCCTGAGCCAGGTATAACAAAGCATATAAATATCCCACATTCACACTTATACGTTATCCCTGTGTTCCCCTTACCACCTATGTAGGGTTGTCTGAATATCGTAAGGCAGACTCAAGGTAGCATCCTATTCAAATGAAGTAAGAGGAGAGACATTGGAAGAGGTGAATGGTGATGCTAGATCGACCAGCTGAGACTGTTTGTTTACATCTGCAGCTGCGCGTGAATCGTGTCTAGAACGTATTCAAGATCCCACGTCGAACCACATTTGGTAACTGGTTCTGTTCGGCTAAGCATGATTGGTAGTCTTAGATTCCAACAAACGCAACAAACTTAGATTACAACAAACGCAGTCAAAGGTTTCTTTTGTTCAACTAATAAGTATTCCTTTTTTTTTGTTAATCTCAAGTATTTTTTGATAAAAGAAGTTCGTATCATCATCACGTCGGGGATGTATTTTTTCTTTATATCAAAATGGCCATTTTACTTAGATTAGGGAAAAATACGATGTCTTTCTATTTAGCTGCTCTCTCTGTATATATTAAACCTATCACTTCCATCTAGTTCTTCTACCGTGCTAAGCTATTTTATATAACTGCATATAACTGCAATGAAATCGACATGGAAAAAAATTCTCTCAGACCCCTTTCATAAACCTGCGCTGGACTTCATACACATGCACACGCACACATGCACGCACACGCACCTACGCAAACACAACAAACAAACACA